GAATTGAGCATAACAAAAATACTACGATACTACTTAACATAAATCTTTTTTGAGTTGACTTAAGCGGTTATGGATATTTGGACCAAAGATACGTAGTCATTAATTAACATTTACATTCTGGTTTCCTTGCAAGCAAACTTTTGTATGGAGGTTTCGGCCATTTGTCTTCTTCGTTAAAATTTAAAGTTTAACAATTTCAGGTTTTTTTTTGTCATAGTGTCATAGCAACTGTGCATAAATTTTAGTTGTTATAAGAACTGGACGTTTTTTGCCCAGTTTTTAAATACCCCAGAATGTATGTAAAGTTTTAAAGTACTTTTTTTAATTTTCAAACGTTTCATTAACCCAAAATATTTCAGAAAGAAACTCAAACCAAATTTTATGATTCACTTGCGGTAGGAGTCTATTTATGCAAGAGTGTGAAGAAGGAAACGCATTTCTCCCCAATGTGGTGAAATAATATATTTATTGCCAAAAGCGGTTATAAAACAATGAAATTCTGCATTGCTTTTTACAGCAGATGTCCTTATTGGCAAGAACTCGTACACACTTTTCACTGCTTTTGTAATAAACAAACCAAGTATCTTTAACAACACTAAATAACTTGAATGGTTCTCGATAATTGCATTCGTATTCGGCGTACATTTGGCGCTTACATACATGCTAGTTTTTGGCCAAGGTTCCTCCAACCTCCAATGTGTAGTGTGCGCTTTGATGCTGTTACACAAATGACCTATAATTTTACCGCCGATATAAAAAAAAATTTTTTTTTTTTTTTTTTTATGTTGCTCGCACCTCAGCACAAACAAATAGTAAAAACAACTTTTTTTGCACAACGTGCATTCTGTAGTTTTACACGTCGTATGAGTAACGTCAATATATATGTATTTGTTTCCTTTAAGAAAGATTTGCGTATGCTTTCATTGAATTTTATGTGAAGCTTCTATCTTTGGATTTATACAAAAATGGCTGCTAATAACAAAAAGAAATTAATATATTAATGTGCGCCTTTTTTTTGATATAATATTAACTGGTTTAAAATTATTATTTTTTAACATAGCTTACAAAACAAAAATAATTTCAGTTAACTTAATAACCGGGCAGATATGAATACTTGCATAGTACATTAATACTCAAATAACGAAATAGCTCTCGAAGGCTATGAGTACTACTCATGCTAGAATATTAAAAACATGATATTAAATACCATGAAACTCATTTTGGCCAAGAGAAATTTCGTTTGATATCAGCAATTGAGCAGGTACAAAAAAGTACATTTGCATGCATGTATTTTACACACTAAAATATTTTTCCCTTTCAAACATTTAGTTACTTTTTTACCATTTCTTACATTTCATTTTTCCATTAATACATTTCATTTTATGAGTGTGCTCTTATACCTGTCTTCCCTCCATTACGACTATTTTTAATTTATTACACATTCTCAAAACTTATGTATGAATACATACTTGTACGCAATTTAATTAACTTGGAATTAGCGCAAATGGATCGTTTATTAGGTTCCCAAAAAGCAAGGCTAATTTGATATGTTTGAAGAAAAATTGTTATTACATACGTATGTGGGTACTCACTTACATACATACATTTCTTCATACAATTAGCGCTGAAATACGAGTTGAGTTTGTTGTTAGCGTTTAAGCCACTGGTTTATTTCTCATCCTGAACAAAGTGCATCGAACAATGAGCGGTTACCCGGAATCCGATTACCGGCAGCATTTTCTATTCGGCACATCCGCAATTCGGAGGGTAACCAAGTAGTCTCTAAAATACCGCGTTATTAAAAGCACTTAGTATAATGATAGGGATTATAAAAACTTTAGTATTTTGAAAAAAACGTATCATTCAAATCATAACTTCGATTTTTATCAATACCTGGATAAAGTAACCGGCAAACTCCTCCTTAAAAAATTAAAGGCAGAAATAAATGGCATCTTCTGACCAAAAGAATAAAAGTCCGCATTCTAAAAGGCACGTAGGAATTATAATACATATAAAATGAGTGGAAATTGTAATGGTATATTTGAGAATACGGTAGGAAAATTTTTTCAATCTGTCTTCTTGATACCAAAATTAAAAAAAAGAACTTTTATTTGCTGTCTTTAGTTAGGAATAGTTTGGCGCGATGCAAATAATCGCTTTTAAGAAGTCATTAGTATAGTTTAAGTTTTCTTTCGTTTTTGGAGTACTAGCTATTGTAATTTTCATAGAAATTTTAAATAAGATTTACTTAAATGTTTTCTTTTTTGTCTTTTCAGAACTAAGAGCATACATTGAAGAACTGTTCATCAACAGTAAGTACAAAAAAACAGAACAGCCCATGTATATACACTAGACTGTATCACTCCCCATCCAAAAAAAAAATCGGTACTGTTTTTCCATTGGAATTATAAAATTTTTTATATTTTAAGACGTCCCAAAATATTTCGGGAAAATGTTTGCGTGTGTCACACGATTGGGTATTTGCCAAAATTTGGTGCAAATCATATCCAATTGCGTGAATACCCAAATATTTATCCCAATCACGAAAATTAATTTGTTTAAATTTTTCAATAGAACATCGCTGTATTGTACCAATCTTTTGACTATAAAAGAAGAAAGTTCAATTTTTTTATTTTGTAGCAATAGCCCAATATAAAATGTACTAATCTGTACAAATGAACCAATCGAGTGTCACTGCCTTAAAAATTTATGCAAATTACAAAAAAAATCAAAAAAATTTCGGGTTTTTTTATTAGTTTCTGAGTATGCAGTACATGTTTCAAATGGCTAAAAGCTACGATTTGTTTTCTAGAATTTAAAAAAAGCACGAAATTTGTACGAAAGTTGGTTGTGATTTTTTTTTTTAATATTTCACAAATTTGGAAATTGGGATTTACACGGTTGTACTTATGGCGCCCCTAGTGACTATACACACGCTCCTTAGTAGCCGTGGTTTTCACCGCGGTTCTGCGCAACCATACGACAGCAGAATACGTGACGATGGGCCTGACTAGAGCTATGTATGTATATTCGAAATACCATGGCCGGTCTCAGACCCCAGGTCTTTTTAAAGGTTCTTCGACACTGTCCGAAAAACTTTCAGCACTCGATTTACCTTCAGCTCGACGTGAGTTTTGCATGTCAGCTTCATATCTAGAGTTATCCCTGGATATTTCACATCCTCTAAGCACTGGAGGGTGAGACCTTCAACTTTTCTTTTCCGTGTAAACAAGACTAGCTGGGATTGACAGGAATACGCTGCAAAGTGCACCATTCAACACGCTTATTCAGGGTTCTCTGTGTCCCAGCACAAACCTCCCTGAGATATTTACCAGATGATAGTGGATATAAAAGAGGAAAATATATTATTTTTCTGCACCATCCATTCTTGATCTTATATATATGTATTAACTCATTCCCTAGGTTTTATTGAAGTGCCTCAATTACTATTCCAGTTATTAATTAATTCCGCACCAAAGCCGTATTAACTTCGCGGGGTAGTTCGCGCGTATGGCGGGGTCGCTTTTTTATCGATTAGGCAAAGTACACTTAATAGTGAGTTGTAAATATTTAGAGATTCTACAATATTTCATCACATTATTATAAATTTACTTCCTAGTGGATTGTCGACCATAGTTTATTTACAATACGTATTATGTCCACGAATGGCCAAAATGAGGAAATTATCTTTGTTATATAGGAATTAATTTATTAAACTCAAACTTTTGTAAATGTTATATAAACTCACTCCTTTTGTCACTCTTCATTATTGTGATAGTTTTATTATCTAATCGCATTAGTTAAACAATATATTTTACTAGATTCTTTAGCTTGATATACAAAATTTCTGTAAGTTATAAATTCAAATGCTTACTACGAACAGTCAACATTAATATACCGTAAGTATTCATGTGTATAAATTATTAATTAAATATTAACAAACAATTAACTCCCGCTCGAATGTTACAACCAGATTTTAATTGGCATATTAATCGTTACGTTTTCCTATACAAACTTATTTAGGTATACTTAATATTGATGTAGTGGTAGTTGCGGTCGTGTATGCAGTTGCATATTGTCCCAACTCGGGAATGTGTATGTGCGTGACAGAGTTGTCCACGCTGTGATCCACCTAACAACTCGCCCACTTCAAAAATTGCTACTCTCTGTCACAAAAGCCAGACAAACAAACAAGCGAATACAACCTTGCTATGTTTAAATGAAATGCATGCCTTTACTTCCGCTCCTCTGCACAACCACTATGCGGCGCTATGCAGCACGCACACTGCTGACATTTTAGTTGCATGTCTTTGGCTGCTGCTGCTGCTGCGTACGTTTGCCCAGTCGTGGCTTATAGAGTGCTGAGGATTTTTTGCTGACGCGCCCCACAAATTGCCATGGCACGCTAAGGTCCTCAATGTCATTGGCAAGCATGTCATTACCGGTACCAACAGCAGCACCTCCACCGCCAACGCCTTCAAGCGTTTCGAGTCCACCATTGCCAGTGTCAAAGCCAGTGCCAGTGCCAGTGCCAGTGCCAGTGCCAATTAGACTGGCACCAGCGACAAAGTCCACACCACCGTCATTGTAGCTACTGCCCAACTCACCATCATTCATTGAGCCGGATTCTTTGTTGAACAGAAGTCTATTGTTGTTGTTTTTGTTGCTATTGCTGTTGTAGATTTCATTGAACAATTGCAAATCAGCTGCAGCACTACGACCAAGGCGTGAACGTAAACGCGCCAACTCAATGTTGGATAGTTGTTCTGCGAAAAAAAAACAAGAACACACATATAAAATATATAAATACCTGCGTACAGATGTGAATGAAAGTGTGACTGATTGTGAGTGGTGCATTGTGTTAGCGAGTAAATGAGTCCAGGTTTATTTACACGATGGCGACAAGGGACAATACGATTTTGATTTAGCGAAATTTGGCGTGAAAGGACACAACTCATGGGGGAAAATAGGAAAGATATTTTAAATGCAGACAAGGTCAAACAAATCCATTACTCAACTTTATTCAATACATATAGAATTAAGTTATCCATTAACCGGTTTCGCTAACAACATATTTGTCAAAACGGTTGGTTTAACTATTTTATTTTGAAAGCTCTATGTATGTATTCTGAGATGCATCCACTATCAAATTTTTTTATTCACAAGGACGAGCAAGTATTGAAAATTTCATTTCAATTAATTTAGTTTTTTAAGCTAACAAAGTTAAAAGGACGAAAATCGAGGAAGTGGTCGAATGTATATTAGTTCTTAACATACTATAACTTATTTGAAATCCTTTCCTCAATGAATTTTAAAAGCACATTTTCAATACCTATTCGTCTTAGCTGAGTGTGCAGAGGAGCTGGCTGTTATTTGTTAATGTTGATACAAATTTTTGTTTTATATTGCCAAACTATGAAAAAGCATCTGTGAAGTGCAGAATGAAAGTGTATTTGAACGAAAAAATCGCCAAACAAATATCTATTTAAAGTAAAGCAGTGGGCTTGCTGCATTCCATTTTCGATGGTTTCGAACTATTTAGTTCTAAATTCGACAGATGACATTTATTTCGTTCGGCATCCCTTTTTCTATGGTTCCAAACCAGTTCTAAATTCGTCACCTTGGATATAGATTTCTAATGAGAAGTTGTTTTATTCTTTTGGACCCAACACATAGCCTGTATTTCTTTTAGACTAAGCTAATTTGCAATCGGGTATAGTCGTTGTGCTTGGTATGCAGTTACAGTTGCACGGCTATACCCAATCCCGACTCTTGCGTTGTCGTTCGCACACTCTGGGAAACGTGAGCAACCCATGTGCGGGAGACGGTAACCAATGCGAGTGGAGCCTTGGGTCAGGGCAGAAAGAGAGTGAGCTACGGTGGGGCCACTCCGACTTATTCGGTTTAAGGGCTCACTTAAGTGTGCAGCGTCTGTTCACCAGTAGGTGTGGCTGCAAACGGGTGTCTATCTTGGAGCACCCGGCTTGCTATATACGTATATTTGTAATAGGCCGATGTCTGTACATTACAGATATTAAAAAAAATTAATATGGGGAGTCTTTATTAGAGCAACAGAAGCCAAATCCACTATTTTTAGAATTATTTTCTGAAAATTTTGTCTGAAACTTAAAATGGAGAAAAACAAATTAGAGAGTTGCCATCAGTTTGAAAATTGCAGTTTAAGTAAATTGATATGCTTAAGTAAATATTTGAATATGGCTGCCAAGAGAAAGAGCTTTAAGAAGGCTTACAGCTGAAGATATTTTTGTGGAAGGTTGCCACATGTTGAAAATTTTAATTTAATTTAATTGATAAGATAAATCAAATAGTGCAATATGGGTATCAAAGCATAGGGTTGAGAAAATTTTAATGCCGAATATATTTTTGAGGGGGGTTGCCACCTGTTTGAAAATTTTACTCTTTTCAAATGATAAAATAAACTAAATATTAGAACAAGGGTGTTAAGCTACAGAGGTTTAAGAAAGTTTACTGTCGAAAATATTTTTGAAATGGGTTGCCACCTACTAACGTATTTTAAAAATTTAATTTAAAAAAAATGATTAGGAAAGGTAAATATTTAAGATTAAAATTTACATATTAAGTAACACCTACATTCATAAAAAATTCTTCTTAAATCGAAAGTTTGTTTGAAAACCTCATTTCATAAAGCTCTTTAATTCTATTTTATTTTTTATTAATGATGCCATAAGAGTTTTGGGAAGAAGTAACAACATAAAAATACTTTTAAGCCGCTCTAAACCACAGCGGGTATTTGCTAGTAAATAAATAAAGAAGTACTTTACTTCGGAAGAATTTTGAAAATTGACTCTTGTAAGGGCAGGCGGAACAAGATCGTCAAACCTTCTCATTCTAGTAAGAACACAATCCTAGTTTTGGTTGGTTTAGCAGACAGCCCATTCGCACAACAACAAAATATTTGGGTTGTTCACACTTGCAAAAAATTATTATTCTGTAGTGTATGTCATTGTTGCAAACTTAATAAAAAATATAACCATATAACCAGATAACCTGATAACCAGTCAAGTGTGAACAAGCCAATTAATTATTTTCGGTGTTATTTGCGCTTTCCTGCAAACGACTAACAAAGAAGGGGCTGTAATGAGGCAGTCCATGTCATCTGCATAAACCTAGGCGTAGATATTAAAGCCGTAGATACTAAAGCCGCATCGATTAGTTTATAAACCAGCCGAAACCAGTGCTTTTAGGCTGTTTAATGGCAGCAAGAGTTTTTTTATGCCTGCATTATTTTTTTATAACTGCCTTTGAAGGTTTTTTTTTAATTTTTGTACGTTCTTCATAACTTTTTTTTTTTTAAGTAATCCCGTTTACACTTCTGAAGTTCACTTCTGAAGTAAGAGAATTTGTTTTGTTTGCCTTTTAATTGGCGGATTGAAAGAGACAATTTTTTAGTCCTATCCTTTTCGCATGCATTTTCTTTAGTCATTCCCACCAAGTTTACTTAACACATGTACATATGTATGTATGTATATTTTAGAAGCTTTTCTACGCAACCTCTATACTCACTCCTCAGGCTGTGCATAATGTTTAGCAAGGCCAGATTGTAAGCATATGTTGGCATATTTCTCAAATACTCCTCCGATGTGGCCAAGTCATGCTGCGAACGTTTTTGTCGTGTCTTCTTTGTCAATTTTTTTGGCGCTGCCGCTAAGACCAGCAATGACCGTTTGTTAGGATGTTTTTCGCTGTGTTGTTGTTGTTTCTGTTGTTCTTGTATAGGCGTATATGGCTTTGGGATGATATTTGGAGAATGTGCTAAATTTATGGCCTAAAAGAAGACAAAAAAGAGATGATGATCATATCAACATGAATAGGCAACAAAAACGAGATGACAAAAGCAATTTTAAGAAATGTACTCGTATTAGAAGCGTGTAGCGAAATGGGCAGGTTTTTGTGACACTTATGTTTTTATAATTTTTATTTTTGTAAACATTATTTTTTTTGTTTATACTACGTAAGTGTATACAATATACATATGTATATGTTGCAAGGCTTCTTAGTTGTTATTTCATTTATATTTCTAATGTCCTTTTTTGTGGAAAATCTGTCGCTAATACGAAAGTAATGGCGCTAAACGGTTTTGCATACATCTTCGGATATTAAAAATCTCTATACCGCATTTTGGATACGTTTTCACCATAAGGGCGGGAAATATTGTAAATGTAATATTTTTTATTTTTACATATATATATATATATGTACTTTTAATAAAAAATATAGAATATATTTACCGCTTACACATTTTACTAAGCGTTTTGCCGTCCTTCTCCTTCAGCTTATGTTGTGAATTTCTGCACAAAAATTGAGAGGCCTGCATTTAAACGCAGCCTCCGGGCGCAATATGGTGAAATGCTTTTTCATGTCAAAAAGACGGTCGAAGGTTTATCATTGCCTACTTATGGACGACAGCTGTCGGGAAATACTTGGTCTATATCTTGTGAGTGTTACCAGGAAAACGAATCATAACTGAACCCCGACTAAAGCGGCCTTTTATTTGATTAATATTTTTTCCGTACTTTGTTAACTAGTCTATTTTTTAAGTTTTTTTTTAGTTATTTCAGAACTATCGCTTATTTATGGCCTTATGTTATTTATGGCCTTATAACAATTAAATTCAAAAAAATTTATTGAGTTTGAGGCTCTTTTTAATACAAATTTTTGTGGAAAAGCAGCAATTTATTTTTTGGTAAAAGTTATAGCTGCTATTTCGGAGTTTACCACAGCTCCCCATCAGACTTCCTCACTCGGATTTGGTCCAATGACCCCAGCGTCCAAAGCCAATAGTCTACCCAAAAAAATTTTTATTATAAACGGCCTCAAGTTCAATAAAGTAGTTGAATATAATTGTTACAAAGCCATACATAACAAAAAAAAAACAGATAACTTAAGAACGAGATTGTTAGAGGATTAATATGTTCTAGAAAATTATTCTTCGGAAAATTTTACTAGGGGTCTTCTCAGGCAAAAACTCTCTCTCAAAAAGTCTCTATAAAATTAAAACAAAAATGCCGAGAAAAAATAAAAAATAGAAAATAGAAAAATGCGGAGTTTTTCTTGCTGATTTTTGATTTTATTTGTTTAGAGACTTTACATTGGTGGCATGAAATTTTCTCCTGAGAAGACCCCAGTAAAATTTTCCGAAGAATAATTTTCTAAAATATATCAAACCTCTAACGAACTTCTAAATTTGCTTTTTGCTGGATTTCTTGAACTGAGGGTGAAGCTAATGGGCGGGACCTAGTGGATTAAAACGTTTTTTGTCAATATTTCCTCTGCAATTTTACTATATATGTATTAACCTTTAATTTCGCTCAGACATTTATTTTAAATATTTTTTCGACTTTTTTGAGCATGCACTCATCTGACCGTAGTTGCACAAAGGTTCATGCACACACCTTAACAACTCTAGGAACATCGGGTTCGTCTTCTCCACAACTTTCAGTTGTTCTACCATTCAGTATGGCGGAAAAGTGTTCGCTCAATATTTTAAGCACACTCTGGACATCGGTCAGATGGTCGCCTTGGTTGTTTCTATAAGAGTTCACCCTAATCTTGAAATCTTCCGCAAGTCGCCTAACTCTCGGATAACATTTTTCGGCGTTTTTCCCATCGGCCAGCATTTCACGTATTTCAGCCTTTCTCTTTTTATTGCGGAAAATACGTTTCGCTACCCTCTTCTTTTCCCTATAGCGGTACTTAGTGAGCGGGGAAATGTGTTAGCTAGTTGCTCTCAGAGAGCAAGAGTGAATGTGTCGATTGGCGAATAATTTGGCCGCCTATTGTGATTGCACCTTTTCGACGTTGAGCTTTCCTAGCACCGTTGGATGCGATGTGCGTATCTTGCCTGCATCAAGATGTAGCTACATTGATCTTTTTATGCTGGAACCTAGTACTACATGTTTGGCGACAAAGTCGATCAGCCTCAGTCCGTTATCGGACGTTTTGCCCCACTTTGGCGTTGAAATTGCCGAGCGCGCCTCTTATATCGTGACTGGGGCAGTGCTCAGAGAAGAAGAGATCCGTATACCGTGTACTCGGCGACAGCCGGGTAAAGGCACCTTCGCCATTAAGAGTCCGGATATTCCAAATGCATACCCTTAAATCATAAACCTTTATTTTTTACTTATTATTCATTTATTTGTTGTGGTCGTCATCAAAAGAAGGGGCGGAGTTTTAATGTGGTGGAATCCAACCAAGGCGCACGTGAAGTTTTACGCCTTCTCACTTTAGCTTGCTCCCTAACGGGTGTTTTATCGCTACCCGGAGGATACATAGATATAAATAACAGGATGCAGTGAGCTGCGATTGTAACAGGATGCAGAATAATCATTTCTGGTCACCGCCAGGTGAATGACAGTCAAATGCTTCGTCCACTTTTGTTCCAAACTAACAAACTGTTAAATGATTAGCTCTTCTATATATGAATTTATGTTAATTTTCAGCAGGCAAATGCAATAAAATTACGATTTCATGCACGTATTTTTCTGCATGAATCATTTTAACAAAATCTTTTGATATGGTGTATTATGAATATACAAAGCTATTCACATATTTTCATAAATGCCAATCATATTCACTTATTTCATCAGAACTCTCTGTGAATATAAACTCATGCAAGTGGAGCGTGATAATTGGAAACAAAATTTAACAATGGCTCAAAAAAAATTTTGTGTTAAAAAGCGCAATACGAATTTTAAATTGAAAACGATTTTCCAGCAATTGCATCATTGTAAGTTTTAAAAATGTGACAACTCAATCGCACTTAGCCATTATAAATTTCTGTGTTAATTTCAATTTACATAAAATTCATTTTTCGCCACATTTACACTATGTACATATGTTTGTTTGTATAACCACTGCGAGCTTGGCAATACTGCAAATGCATTTACATTCATGCAGATTATGTATGTAACTGTATTCGTATGGCATAACAGCCCAGTAAGAAATGAAACTATGTATGTGTACCGTGGCATATGAGCAACAGACCATACACACACATTGTAGGACGCAACCATATACTTTCTCGTATATCGACGGCGGCTAAATTAAAGTTGAATTTTTTTTTGCAACTTTCGACTTCAGTTTTATTTCAGGAGTTTGGAATTTTCGCAGAATTTTCCTGTTTATGAGTGGCTGGACGCCATATACATAGTAAAAATAGTTGACTATTTTTGCTTAGCAACAACTAGAAAATTGTTTTCTAAAAAAAGGCAACAAATTTCAGGTTTTCATGCTCGAAAAAAACTCAGATATGCGCATGTTTAACTAAAAGGTATTGAGATTTATTATAAAATACTAGCAGACCCGGCGAACTTCGTCCCGCCAAAAATTTGTATATATTTTATTGAAACTTTTTGGTCCAACATTTTCAACAACAATTCA